AAAAAAAAAAAAGTTCTAACTTTCCCTCCACCCTTCCTGATGACTGTAGGAGGAAGGGAAAACCCAAAACACTGAAGAAACCAAGAACTGCTTGGGGAAGGCCGGGATAAGGCCTCAGATCTCCCTCCCTTTCCATTGGAGGGAGACATGCACAGCCTGAAAGTCAGAGGACCGGAGTTCTGTTTCCAGCTCTGTCACAGAGTCATAGGGTGACTAAACTAGAATCCAAGTGACCTCCCAGACTCCCTGGCTCCATATCTATAAAATAAAGGGTTGAGATCCCCAGTCTCAAGGGCTCCTAAGTTATAGCTCCCTAAGAATCTGTATAAACTTAATAGCCAATAAGTGGAAATAACTCAAATGTCTATCAATAGATGAATAGATAAAGAGAATGCAGTGCATCACGTGATGGAATAGTATTCAGCTGGAAGGAGGAATGATGTGCCCTTGCGTACCACAAGAGATTGTAAATGAAAGAGACCAATCATAAAAAGCCTCCTAGGGTGTGACTCCATTCCCAGGACAGGGAAGTCTAAAGGGAGAGCAGGCAGATAATTGAGTGCGTTGTTGGCCCCCAAATTTGGGCTCATGTAACGGAAGTGCAGTTAAAGCCAAGCACAAGTCAAACTGGTTCTTAGAGATACTGGTTTATTTGATAACAGCCCAAGTGAGAAGATGGGAGAGCAACATCTCTCAGGTCCGCCTCTCCAAATGCAGCAGGGAATTACGTGGCTAAGGAATAAGAGTGGGAAGGGGGGGTTGTGTTGAACTGGAAAACCTGCGGACTAAGCCTCTCCCCACTTCAGCGACTTTACTATGGACCTCGTGGGAGCAACACAGGGCCCCTTCCTTCCCCCTTCATCCCAGGCGCATTTCATTAGAGAGGCAGACCGTAGCTAACTCCACTTCTGGGCATCCGCAGTCAGCTGCAGCTTTTTCAGGGCATTCGTCTCTTCTCCAAAATAAACTCAGAGAGTATCTTCATGACCCTGGGGTTATCTTTTCCTGTTTGACAAAGAAACAGTGAATCTGCAGTTAATAAGCGCTGTGAGAGCGAGGGGTGCTGGGCAGGACGCAACCTGCTTCACCTGTGCCAACAACCAAGGGCCTTGTCCAATTTTACATTCTTTTAGTCATTAAAAAACTCCTGGGCACCAAAATCTCAAAGTGCTCAGTGAGGGCTGGGGATAAGGAGATGACAGATAGAGATACAGACAGGTTTCTCCTTTGAGGTGATGAAATGTTTTCGAATTGACTGTCGTGATAGGTACACAGATCTGTGAATATACTAAAAACCATTGAATTGTATACTTTAATTAGGTGAATTATGAATTATATCTCAATGAAGCTGTTAAGAGTCTATGAAAACTTAGTTTTCGTAAGTTGCTAAGTTTCTGACAGGAGACAAACTCGCAAAGCCACACCAGGAACACCTTTATGAGCTGGATAAGAATTACTATTTCATATAAAACACGTCTCACAGGGTTTAACACCACTCTCATAAAATAAAGGCTGAAGAAAAGTTGAATGCCAAGCCTTTGGGCATAGACAGGGCGTGATACGACATGAATCTGAGTGGAAAATGAAATGAAACTCAGAGAGAAAGGAGGTGAAGCAAAGTTACATGGGAATCAGCGTAAGACCGAACTCTGGGTTTGCAGGGTCAGTGATGTGAGAACAGATCCTGCCAAGGTCAGCAGGTGCTCAATGACCCCGACGGGGAGAGGCCCAGGCAGCAGGGCCCCAGGAAGGGACAGGATGACGAGAAACACTGGCAGGTAACTTGGCAACCCGTGTGGGGAGGGGCCGAGGGCAGCAATAAGCAGTGCCTGGAACAATTACTAGATGGCTCAGTGGTAACTGCCACCATGCACAACCCAGCTGCTGGCAGAGAGCTTTTTCAGGTCACAGCTGGCACTCAGCAAAATGCTCTCAGCCTGTAGAAGCAAAACCTGAAAACTGACTACTCAAAAAGCAGCACTTTGAGTCAGGCCTTGGCTAACCTTCCAAATTGGAAAACGAATGAGCATCCTTTAAGGAAAAGGCCCATCCCAGGGCACCAATGTGCTGTACTCTGGTAATTCATAGTGTGCCAAGGGCTCGGTGATGGTGTGACAGAACAAGACCCTCCCCATCCTCACACAGGGCACCGCGGGCAGCCAGCCCCTGCTGGGATTCCAGGGGCAGGACTACAGGAGAGCCCAGACCAGCTTAGCTTCCTAGACTTGGTCTGCTCAGCCTAAGGCAGTGTCTGGGATCAACAACAGTATCAGTATTACCTGGGAACTAAGAAATGTACATTTCTGCTGAGCCAGAAACTCTAGAGGTGGGATCCTGTACTCTGTGTTTTAACAAGTTGTGCTGAAGTTGAAAACCCATTGACTAAGCCACCCCCTAATCCAGTGACCCAAGTATTGAGTACCGGGAAGCTGAACCCTGCAACCTTTCCAAGGAATGTTGAGTTGGAGGGTCAGCAGGAACAAGTGTCTGATGAAGAGAAACACAGAGATGGCATACATCAAGGACAGAAAGCCACACGAGCTTCACCAGAGCTCTAGTCTGCAGGGCCCTCTGCTGACACACTGTTGTGATTGGGACCCCAGAGGTGAGACAAAGTCTCATCGAGACACACCCTCTCCCCCTCGGCAGCCCCGCATCCCACTCCACCCTCCATGGATTTCTCACATACTGATGATTCATTATGAGTCCCTGACACTTACATAGTCCTCTCTGGCTTATGAAATTTCACTAACGACCTGCCTGCTTCAGTTCTGCACACAACATTCTTGTGTGTGACGGGGATGAGTAAACCGAGGCTCACAGAAACGCTGAGCAGTGATTTTCAACTGGGGTGCCGGGAAAAATGTCGAAGATCATTAATTGAATTCTTTTTGAAAGAAGTTCAAAACACAGTAAGGATATTCTTTTTTTAACTTTTTTTTTTTTGATCAACATAATTTAAGTGAGCCACAGAAGTGAAACTGTAAGTTCAAATGTGCTGTGGGATAAAAGGGGGAAAAAGGGCTGAAAAATATTGGCTTAGAGGCTCGCTGGAGATCAGCCAGTAGGGAGAGAGGCGAACCAGGACCACAGCCCAGTCCTCTCTGTCAAGGGCTCTCATCACACCGCCCGCCCCCTGGGAAAGGCTCTTGACAGATTACACAGTCGAAACGGAAGCAGATGTTGTGGATTTCTTTGCTCTTTCTCTGAGCACTCCTCAGTCACTTCTGGAATCTATTTGCAGCCTGGCTACAAAGACTTGTGCACAACACCGCAAGGTGTGCACAGTGGCACCTGTGTGTGTGAGCCGGCCCTGAGGGCCTCAGGAGCACCCTTCCTCCCAGCCTTGTTTGGGCCATGCTGAGAAGCCTGCATGGGAGTCTGGCTTGTCTTCTCCAGCTCTCCCCAGGCTGATCATGGTTCTAGATTCCAGTAACTCCCTCACCATCCCTAACTAGTTATTGGAGAACTTGTTCCACACGAGTCCAGCATTCCACAATTCCATAGTCCCTTAATGTGTATTGAGAGAAAAGAGAGGGGAGAGATTATCTGATTTAGGTGTCTTTGGAAAATACAACGTACTGTGCCCCATTAGCTAGTTAAGAGCTCTGAGAATTCCTACAGTCAAGAAACCTATTGAAATTGATTAGTCCAGCTTGCCCCAAATGCATGGGACTGCGCACTACTTTTGCACAGGACATCTAGCTACTGGCAGGATGTGAGTGTTCCAATGAATGCATTTAGGGTAACAGATGGGTCCTACATCTTCCCACCTCCGGCACTTCTCTCCCTCTGTTGGGTTGGTCTGATGCTTGCTCACTGCGTGCGGCCTTCAGAGGACCACAGTTCTGATTCTTTGGGTTCTCCCTAGCCCCACATTCCAGAGGCCTGGCTGCCTCTCAAGCGTCCCACCTGAGAGAGAGGACAGAGAGCTCCCTCCCTCTGCGCTGAAGTCCGCAGCCCACTCAGATGCCCACCAGGTTTCCTGTCTGGAGGGTGTTTTTGTTTCCTTAATTCTAAGACAGAGAAGACTGTGGTGTTCTGAGCAGGACCCCAGCTCCACCTCTTCCCTGGGTTTATTGGGTGGAGAGCAAGTCCTGCTTCCCTACAAGTAGTTTCCACTTGCTAAAGACACACAATAGCGGAAAGTCAGCCAGGCTGCAAGGACATCCACACGTGTGCAGGGCACAGCTAAAATGCAAGCCTGGGTTTCGGAGGCAGATGAGCAGCAGAGCTGGGAAGCCAGGCTCAGGAGGGAGTTTGGGAGGGACAGCAGAGCTTCCCGAGATCTAAGGGAGAAGCAGAATGTGAGGGCTTTGGCTCACGAGGACCAAATAAGGAGAACCAAATAGGTTCATTCAGCTTCCTCAACCTGAGAAGAGCCTGGTGCCGCTCTCCTCAGACCCATGAGATCCAGTGCATCTCGGGAAGGGCTAGAGATGGCACTGCAAGCCCTGAGAAATTTCACTGTGAAAAACAAGGAGGCAAATGCCAAAGTTACCGTTTTAAAATGTTTAACAAAGCTATAAAGGGAAAAAATTAATGAAACAGATCAAACTCTTCAAAGAATAACATTTTATACGACATTTTTCTATATATAGTACCTCTGAGAAGTAGAGGAAGGGAGAACGGATGTGAAATCACTTCTATATAATAACTGCAATAGAAATTTGGGGTATCTTTCAGAACTTTTTGTAAATGATAATTCATCTTTAAGCTACTGGTGAGGCTGAGCCAAGAGGATTGCTTAAGCCCGGGAGATGGAAGTTGCTGTGAGCTATGATGCCACGGCACTCTACCAAGGGTGACAAAGTGAGACTCTATCTCAAAAGACAACAAGAACTTAGGATGACATTCAGTTCACCATCTACAGCTATGGTCTAAACAAAGAACTTCAAATTTTTAATCAAACTTGTTGTTTTAGAGTTCTTCATCTCCAAAGAAATAATTTTTATTCCAGTAAAGACGTCCTATAGGAGCAAGCCAAGCAGATTAGAGCAAATACAATTAGTTACAAAAAATAATTCGTCTATAAAAATGAAAATAGAGACCAAAATTGTATTTACTCAAAATCAGCTCAGAATGATTTGAAATATGGAGAAGAGAGAAGGAGAGGATAAATTATAATCTTAGTGATTTTAAGTGATCTACTGTCTGGAATAGAAAAGTTGTTCTTTCCCCGCACTGAGCAAGCCACCCCTAAGTTCCTTTTTTGAGGCTTTGGCAAAAGATTATTTCCGAGGCAGTGGCAGCAAGCCTAATGCGCTCATTGTCACAAAAGCCTGAGATTACATTGTATTTCTCCTAAATTGGTCACCTAATGAGATTGGCTCTACCTAAAAACCAAAAGTGTATCTTCCTGCTATCTTTAGCTCTTGTTAAGGGAGACTGTCTCTGGCGCTTTCAAAGTTTAGCACTTGCATTAAACATCAACAAAGATGACAAAGGATCTGACTGGGTGTGTACACAGTGTCCTCCAGCAGGGGCCCACATCTGTCTGTGGCCCACAGAGATAACCACTCTGGGAGCCAGCCCCAAGTCTCGCTGGCTTTCATGGTGAGGTACTCTCTTATCCACAGAGCACATGAAGACAAAACCCCCAAATCTTAGCAATGAAACGCTCAGCCCCTTCCTTGTTCTCACTAGGGATCTTGTTTTAACGTGTACCTGGGATTAGTTTTGATCAGAGATGGTTAGACACGCAGACATGGCAATGACGGTGATTTTTACTCTCAGAGCCCTAGAAAAACACATAGAGGGGCTACACAGGACAGCACTGGGTCAGTCACAGGGCAGGAATGAGGGCAAAGCACAGGTAAAGGCCCTCACTATGGTTTTCATAGGAGGGGATGAGTGAGGTGAGGTGAGCAGCTCAGGGGTAGATAATTCCCACAGGCTCCAGGCAGCCCCACTTCCCTGCCTGTGCAGGGGTCCTTCCCACAGCACTGCCTTGTCACACTGCTGGATCACCATGGTGAGGAATCAAGAGCCTGAGACATCTGTGTGTCAGAATCACCCCAGGGGAATGTATTAAAAATCCAGACCCATAGAGATAGGATTTTCCAAGCAGAGGCAAGATTTTGTGTAATGGTTCATTTTATATGTCAACTTAATTGGGCCACAGGGTGCCCAGATATTTGATTAAACGTTATTCTGGGTATGACAATGAGATTAACATTTGAATCAGTAAATTGAGTAAAGTAGATTGACCTCCCCACTGTGGGTGGCTTCATCCAATCATCCCCACTGTAATTCTTTCAAGTGCTTCAGATTTGCAGATTTAAACCTGGCATGTGTGTTTTTTAGTTCCCTGTCTTTTCTCATACACGAAGACTTTTCTACTTCAGCACATTCACAAGGTCTCCTTTCTCTTGAACACTGGTCAGAACTATGTTTGTGTCTATGCCTATGTTTTACATGTATCTATACATGTATATCAGGCATTGTAATTCCTATGAATTTGTTCTTTTCAATCATAATCTTAATCAAAATCAAATTTTTAATCAAACTTGTGTCAATTCTGGGTACTGGGACTTATTCTAGTACTTTTGTATTATATTCCCCTATAAATTTTAGAATCAGCTTGTCGATTTCTGCAAAATTCCTTCTGGGATTTTGATTGGAAACAGGTTGAGTATATAGATCAGTCTGTGGAATATGGACATTATAATAACATTGAGTCTTTTCATGTATAAGCATGGTATTTCTCTCCATTTGTATGTCTTCATTAATTTCTGCAAGCAAGTTTTATGTTTTTTTATTGTACAGGTCATGCACCTATTTGGCTTAAATTTATGTTTAAATATTTAATATTTTCGATGCCATTATAAATGATATTACTAAATTTCAGTTTCCAATTATTCATTAATTGTATGATAATTTTTGTATACTGGCCCTGAAACCTTGCCAAACTCATTTACTAGTTCTAGGAACTTTTTATAGATTTCTTAGGATTCTTTTACATAGACAATGGGGGGGGGCCTAACACAGCCACACACAAACTCTTCTTTCCCCTCCTCCTTCTCCCTCCCCTCCTCCCCCTGCGCCTCCTCCTCTTCTCCTCCTGAGACAAAGGATCTGGTTAGCTCCACCCTGGAAGTTCACACCAAAGGACCCTAACTTTCAGGAAAACTCTGGAGTTTGCCTACCCACTATGGTCTTATATAAAAGGGGTCTCTAACGGCCCCTAGGTGTAGATGCCACCTTTGCAGTGCCCAGGCGGGTCACCCTCCCTTTTCAATAAACCTGGCCTGAACATCTCCCTCAGGTCTTGTCTCTGGGCACCACTGCTTACACCTGTCAGACAATCCTGTCATAAATAAAGCCAGTTTCATTTCTCCCTTTCTGACCTGCATGCTTCTTGTTTATTTTCTAATCTTTTTAGACTGGCTGGCACCTATAGTATAATTCTGAATAAACATGATCAGAGTAGGCATCATTACTCTGTTCTTAACCTTGGGAGGAATCCAGGTGGTCTTTCTCCATTTACTATAACATTAACTATAGATTTTTTTTCAATAAACACCCTTTGCCTAGGTGAGAATATTTCCTTCTCTTCCCAGGTTGCTGGGAGGGGTTTTTTGGTTTGCTTTGTTTTTTTGAATTAGTGTTGAACTTTTTATGCATCTATTGAGATGATCAGGCTGTTCACTTACTTTTAGTCTGTTTACTGTGATGAATTCTATTGACTTTCTTTTGTGTGTTAAGCAAATCTTGCATTCCTAGGATAAACCTCGCTTGGTCATGAAGGTCCTCTTTTTACATATCTGGATTCAGTTCGGTAATATTTGGATTACCAAATAAGGAACAATAGGGATTTTTGTGTCTCTTTCTTTTTCTTTTCAGAGTAATCTGTATAACAATTTTTGTGTCTTTTTTCAAAAGAGATATTGTTCTTGGGCACTTTTAACATGGCTGATACCTGTCTTATTTTGATTCTCACAAAAATCTTATAAAGATAATATATCAGTGCATCCTAAAGTGGATATAAGAGGCCTTCAAACGCCCTGTTAAGCACTTGCACTGACTTTATTTATCTGGGCTACTGCTTGTTATATTCATAAATCTCTTAAAGCTCTGGAGCTGAAGAAATGGGCACTCATCCAAATTAACCAACTTGCCCACAGTTCCAGCACTAGTTCCTGACACAGCTCAGAGTGGAACAGCCTTCAGGCCGCCAGCAGGTGACGCTTGCCAAGAGGCGTGGTTCTTTTGGTGTTTCTGTGGGGGATGTGGGTGGGCAATGTGCAAAGTAGCCTGGCCTGGGGGAAAGGTGTGTTACTGACATCCAGGCTGTCTTCTGTTCCTTGCTGCACTTTCTAGCAGAAGTTGATAGAAGGATTTCTACTGTAAAAGATACTCAGGATTTTACCTTGGAGTGTCTTCTTGGGAAGTGTTTCAAAAGCTGTTGATACTCCAGATGCTTCATCAAGACCTATTCTCTCTCTGGAAAGAGAAAACAGAGGCCCGTCCCTTCTGTTGGAGGTGGAGCAGTACTTTCGTTCATATTGGGGCCCCAAGAGATTCCAGAACAGATGCTCAGTAAGTGTTGCTGATGGAATGTCTCTTTTCCAGCCAATATAAGTGTGTGGTGCCCAGGAGGCATGAGTAGCTATGCACAAGGCATTAGCCCAGTAACTACCCCGATCCTCCTGCCCTTTCTGGATCTGTTCTATAAACTGCTTTTCCTTTCCTTCCCTCTGCCCAGCCTCCCCAGTGCCATTCACACTGGCCTAGAAACCTGCTCTTCCCATAAAACGAGGTAATGGGAAAGAAACATAATTTGTGTTAATATCCCTGTGGCTGAGTGAGGCCTGAGTCACGTAGGAGCAGGCACTGACCCTGGCATGGACCTGCAATTTTCTAAACTTAAAACAGATGTTAACATGCTAGGACGTCCATTACCAAAGGAATCCTGTGATGTCGCCTCAGCAGGAACGGCTCCACTCACAGTGGCAACAAACACAGAATGTACTTAGAAATAAGCTTTGTGCTGTATGTGTGAGACCTTATAAAAAAATGAGAGAGCTTTATCAAGAGACCTAAGTGAAGAAGGATGCTATATACGCCCCAGATATGGAAACAGGGCCTGGGAGGACTGCTGCATAATGGATAAAATCCCAGCTGTCCTCTCATTACTTTATAAATCGAAAACAACCCCATTCAAAGTAAAGAAGGACTTGGAGTCAGCCAAAAAAATCATATTTTGATTCCCTACAACAACAAAGTGATCACGCTTTGGCTTTAATGGTCTAACAAATTATTAAATGTTTATACAAATTAGTAAATCTCTCTAAGCATCCCTTCCTTATCACACAATGAGAATAGCAATAATCCCACTTTATAGAATTGTGGCAAGGATTAATAGGCAAAGGAGGAGCGCCTACAGATGAGGAGCCTAGCACTGTGCCTGAGGCGAGGTCAGTGCTCATTATGTATTAGCTAATTTTAGCCAAAACCAGAAGCAA